CTTGTTGCTCCTCTGACAAAGTGAACTGAGCTTGTTTCAAAATGTCAGTAATGGGGGCCATGATAATACTGAATCCTTTGATGAAACGCCGATAAAAATTAACTAGCCCATGAAAACTCCAGATGTCAAAAAGAGAGTGAGGAGTTGGCCAGTCCATAATAATAGTAACTTTCCGCGGATCCATGCTCACCCCCTCCGCTGAGATGATAATGCCAAGAAACGACACCTGTTTGGTTGCAAGTTCACACTTAGAAAAGTTTAAAAATAACTTGTTCAGCCTCAATATAGTAAAGATGCTCAAGAGGTGTTACAGGTGATCTTCCATCGAAGCGCTGAATACCAAAATATCGTCAAAATATACTACACAGCATTTGTTTAGACAAGGCTTCAATACCTCGTTCATCAAGCGCATAAAAGTTGCGGGAGAGTTACATAAGCCAAATGGCATTACTTTCCACTCATACAAACCTTGGCGTGTTTTGAACGCGGTTTTCCATTCGTCACTCGGTCGAATTCGGATTTGATGATATGCGCTCCGAAGGTCCAGCTTAGAAAAAATATTGGCTCCCGACAACTTGTCAAGCATGTCTTCCATCCTCGGCATTGGAAAATGGAACTTGACAGTAATTTTATTTATGGATCGACTGTCCATACATATCCTCCAACTGACGTTTTTCTTCGGGACGAGGAGTGCTGGCACTGCACATGGACTAAGACTTGGTTGGATCAATTGTTTCTCTAATAGTTCATCAATAATTTGCTGCAATATTTTGTGCTCATTGGGACTCATTTTGTAGTGGGGCATGTTTGGCAATGTAGCTTGGTGCATGCTCAATCTAGTGTTGAACTGCTCTTATGGGAGGTAATTAAGATGGCAGTTCGGATGGGTAGATATCTGGAAATTGCTGTAATAGAGATTTAACCTCAGCACATACAAACTCTTTTTGGTTTGAACGGTTCTATTATGTGACTATTAAAGCCATAATGCAAGTAGATTCACGCCAAGCATTAACTAGTGCTGATCCCGATACCGCAAACAATGCAGTTTTGGTTGTAGGGGTGACTTGTTGTTCATTCACTCGAGGCAGCAATCTTAATTTTTTTCCTTTCCATTCAAAGGAATAAGTATTGGCCCGGCCATCATAATTTGCCCCGACATCAAATTGCCACGGCCTTCCCAAGATTAAGTGACATACATCCATATCTACCACATCACAAAGAACTTAGCTGGCATAGTTACGACCAATAGAAAATGTGACTTTGCACATATCAGTTACTGCTATTTCGACTCCTCTTTTGACTCAACTAATCTTATATCGGTTTGGATTTTTAGAAGTTTTTAATTGTAAAGCTTGCACCACCGCACGCGAAATGACATTCTCCGTGTGCATCTGCTGTCAATGAGTATATCACAAACCTTTCCCTTGATAGTGCACTTTGTTTTAAACAAAGCATTTCGCTGCGACTCCATCGGTTGCAGCGGAGCTAGCAACAACCTTTGCAACATAAACAATGGCCTCACCTTCATCTCCTGCCACGTCTTCAAGATCTTCTTCTTGACAGCCCACTGCATTGTCTTCTCCCTCTTCGTCTTCGGCCTCTAACAGTTGTAGCTGAGGGCGAGTCAGACACTCATTGGATTTGTGAGCCTGTTGGAAGCATCTAAAGCACTTGATATTGGCTGGCTTGGTATAAGAGTTGTCTTTCAATGGAGCCTTATTCCTTTGATAGTTCCTAGGATCAGCTGCTCTTTGCCCAAAGCTAGGGGGTTGATTTACTGCTGTGACCGGTGACAAGGGCTTAGCACCAGTGGCCGAACTATATAATTGCTTCTTACTGCCTTTGACAAATTGCTCCGAGCTTCTTCTATGTGAACGATTGCTACTGTGTCTGGTCATTTGCATCTCGGCCTTAATTTTGTAATTCACAACTTGGGAGAACGACCAAATTGCATTTAATTCCAATTTATCTTGGATTGCATCTTTCAATCCACCAATGTATCTAGCCACAATTTGATTTGCCGTCTCATTTAAATTATTTCTAGCACTGAGTCTATAAAATTCCTCCATATAATCATTCACGGTTCTCAATCCTTGGGAGCAGTGTTGATATTGCATGTACAACATTTGCTCGTAATCAATAGGTAAAAAGTGTCCACGCAATAGTTGCTTCATTTGAAGCCGATTGCGGACAATACCCTTTCCTTCACGTCTCCTTGATTGGATCACTTGTTGCCACCACGCACTGGCACCCCCTTTGAGCTTACACGCCACATACTTCACTTGTTTTTCTGGATCAATCTCTATATACTCAAAGAAAGTTTCGACTGCCCTCTCCTAACCTAAATAATCTTCAATGTTCAATTTACCATCAAAAAATGGTATATCAAGTTTGACGTGGAACTCATTGTGATGTCTGTCTCTGGGCCACGGACGTCGTCTCTGCACCATTCCTAGATCCTCTTCGGAGTCGGAGACATCCAGTGTGTTATAAATTTCCAGTTCTTCTTCAGATTCCAAAACTTCTGGAACTAAGTTATTTGGCAGTCTCTCCCTGTCTGCAACGAACCCACACCTCGTTGCCGGTGTGGTTGCCGGCGGTAGCATCTGAGCGGTTTGGTTCCTGTCCAAACGTGCTTCAATCAACCTTAGTTCTCAGCGCATTTCGCCAAAAAATCGATTGATGTCGGCAGATAGAGCTTCTGTCGTTCTCGCCAAGTTGGCATGTTCAACCCATAAGGCTTCAAGGCTGCGATCTTCACCGGTAGCCAACCGTTTGCTACCCTCAGCCATCCTTGCTTTGATACCAAATATGATGTAGATACCTGCAATAAGATGGAAAAATAGAGAAACAAGAAAGCAAAAACAAGGAACAAAGTTCTGTATTGAGATATATTATCAATCCAGGAGACCCCTTGCGGGTTATAAGCCTCCCACACTTCCTATACTATAAACAGCGTAAAGATAAAAAGTATAAAAGTGCTATGTAACTAACTATAGTACTAAGGTAGTGGAGATTCCACATTCTAACAGAAACTAGGAATAAAAAGGGTAAGATACTCCTCCAGGTCCCATATAAGCTGGGATGCTCCGCATCAATTACAAATTTCACCTTCGAAGACAAAGGGCATGTAATGTATACAACAAGCTGCACATAGATGGTAGTAGTAGAATACACAATGATATGCCCACGAATAGAGTTTGGAAGATGTGTAACAAATATAGCAGTTTACAAGTAGATAATGTCACTTAGCTACATACAAGCACACTAAGCTTAGAAATGAGTTGAGCGAAGAGTGCGAGATTGGTTTGACCGATGCGGGAGATGGGCTGCGACCTTGGGATGTGTGTGTGAAACAGTGCAAACTAAAATCAAGAAGCAAAGTCGGAGAGAAGAAGAGCGATGGTGATGAGCATTACTAAATAAACCAATTCCCTAAGTGGATCTACATTCCAGGAGCTGTCTGGCGGCAGAGATAAGCCAAGTGCAATTTCAATACTTTGGAAGCTTGTGGCGATAGGGAAAACTTGTGGTGCCAAATCTGGCAGCCTGGAGTTAGTATCTGAACTCCCTTATGCCTCCGATGAGCCCATGACAATCACTAGTTTTGGGAGTGTTGCAATCGGATTTGACAATGGCATGTCAGCTTTGATGTCAGATGTGGCGGTGGAAGAGTGTGTGGAGCTCGAGCATGGGAGAATGGGAACGGGGAATAAGGGGAAAGAGATTTTTTTTATGCTTCCACTGGATAATGGAAAAGGAGAAGGGTCCGACACAGGTTCAAAGTGGCGATGGTTAAACTTCAATTGCTAATGCTAGACTGACATTCCGAGAAAAGAGGCCAAGAAGTTAGATTTATATAAAAGTTAGCTCTGCCTGGGCTGATAGACACGGGAGGCAACCACCACCTCCAACCCAGATAATTAAACAAACAAAACTTTATCCTAAGGTCACATCTTGTCGGATCGGATACAAAATGACATCAGACTGCGGAGGAGGAAAAATCAGACACTACCTAGAGAAAACTAGGATACGGAAGAAACCAGAATAGCCTAGCTTTTTTTTTTCAAACTCTTTCAAATCTCAAAAAATTTGAATAAAGGGAGGAGATGACCCTTTATTTATAAGGTAGCCTCAAGGGTCATTTTGGATGGAATTATTAAAAAAAAATAGAAATTACAATAAGAAAAAGAAATAACATCTAACAATAGAGAGGAAGTAGGTTTGGTTGGTTGAACCAGTCAAGATAGGTTCACCCGGCGTCAACCAAGCCATCAACAAAGTCAGTCAAATTCTACTTCTTGGTTTTATGAATTAGTGAACTGCTAGATAAATTAGCTAGGTTGGCCATCTTTTCCAAATTGGTTCTTCGTAGCGGTTCTCACCAAATCCAAATTTTCCCTGAGGATGAGTGGAAGACGACATTCAAAACTAGCCAAGGCTTGCTTGAATGGAAGTTGGTGCCATTTGGCTTACGCAATGCACTTTCTACATTTATTTGCCAAATGAATGAGGTGCTTAAACCACTTTTAGAAAAGTTGTGTAATTTATTTTCATGAAATCCATTTATCAACCACGTTCCCACTATAGATTTCTCCATCTACCTTAGCTTTCTTTTCAAACATAATTTATGGTGCATTCCCAAGTCATCCTGACACCAACAGCTTATAAAAGAGATATGTAGCTAAGGATTAGCTGCCCATGTTGGCAATGAAAAGACAATATCGCAACTAAAACTTTTTTATTTTCCTCATTTGAGTAGAGACTTGTTACGGTTCCTAAAAAGGTTTGTGTCAAACTTGTTAAGGTGGTAGACAAAATACTGACTTATATACTCATCTTCCTATTGTTTATTCAATTTGAGTGAACTTAAGCCTAGATTTCATTCTCGGGCTGCCCTCCACAAAAAGAGGTTTTGTCTCAATTATGATAGTTGTACATAGAATATCAAAGATGGAACAGTTTATAACTTGAAAAAAAAAAACTTTTGATGTCCTTAATATAGCTCATTTATTCTTTTACAGCATAGTTCGTTTTCACAACATTCCAAGAAGTCTCAATTCAGATCAAAACATAAAATTTATTAGTCACTTTTGAAGGGAATTATGAAGGTGCATGCATACAGAACTTCAATTAAATTTGAGCATATCACCGTCAGTCAAATGGACATTGAAGAAGTAAATAGGATGCTCGATAACAAATTACGTTGCTTAGTCAAAGATAACCCTAAGCATGTGATGAAGTGTTAGGTCAGGCAGAATTTGCATACAATTCCATGACAAAGCGCACTATGTCGCTCCCCCTCCAGTATAGTAAACACCAAAAAACCCAATCATACATTGGATCTTGTTGTTTTGCCCAATTGTAAAAGTAAGGCAGCAATAGATTTAACAGAACAACTTACCTCCATGCTCGAGAATGTTAAAAATAAGCTAGCCTTTTCAAACAATCATTGCAAGCAACTTAGCTGATCAACATCGTTGCCGCAAAATTTGTAATCCTAGAGATTTCGTCATGGTACGATTGCATAAAGAAACCCCTCCCAACAAGAATATACTCTAAATTAATCCCTAAAAAATTCGGTCATTTTTGTGCTGAGGAATGTCGAATCTTCACAAGATGTTCTTCATCTTGTCTGACAGCCCTTGGCGAACTATGAGAGAATCAATTGATGGACTACCAAGTATTCCTAGTGATTGAACTTGAATTGAAGCTTAGTGCTGTGGCGAAAAGAGTGGAAACTGGTTTTACAGATGAAGGTCTCAGCGCCTGAGCACTAAAGTTTCTGCATTGTCTGTTAAATCCAGTTAAACGGCCAGCCCTTCATTTGAAGATAATCAACCTTCGGCCCAGTCCATTACTCATATCTAATAACCAGAATTTGGGCTGCACAATTTCCTGTCCATAGTAAGGAGATGGATCCAGGATACTAAATCATCCAAAAGCATCTTTAGGGGCTGTTTGGTAGCACCCAGGATTTGAATTTAGTTGGATTTCATAAATCCTCTAAATCTGGAATTCGGAAATCCAGAGGTGTCTGAATCCTGAAAACTGTTTGGTAACATTCATGATAAATCCTATTAAATCCCGTGTGACTTTTTGGCTATAGAGCGGATTTAATGAGTGGACTCTTACTCTCATGCCAATAGATTTCGTAAATCCGACAAAAAAACAGGATTTTTGAAATCCGACATTTAGCATGAAAAGGCGGAATTTTCCGCCGTGAGATTTGGTTTTGCATTTTAGGCCGTTTGGCTGGATTTCACTAAAAAACCGCCTCAAATTCAGCCTAAATCCTGCTTCCAAACAGCCCCATAATTTCACTTGTCTACTGAGATTTGCCCCAGAATCCAACGATACAGATTTTCTTACACAAGCACTTTGCTGCCACTGATGATGTCTTGGTGGTCACAACTCTTGTTCCTGCATTTGCAATTTGTGTTGGTGTTGCTGTTCCATAAGCTTCGTTTGCTGAGCCTATACATAGGATGAAGCAACGTCAGAATGCTCATTATTTGTCCTCGCGATGAATATATCCCAAAATGCAGAACAACATTCAAAAATAATTTCTCCTGGAACGTAAATGATGAACAGCAGATTTCTTCTGAAATCTCCAACTATAGGAATAATTCTGTCCGGATATTTTCTACATGAAGTGCAGAAACTTATCTTCTGTCAATAACAGCTCTTCTTCCCGAGATTTCATGGTGTAAAGAGCTTCAGCTAACCTTTTAGTTCAGCTGTTGTGCTAAATAAGCATTACCATTTACAGTATCTTTGATGCCCAACAATCCAGACAACCTTTTTATAGGAGCTTCAAAGATTTTATCAGAATGGAGAACAATATTATGATTGGATCAACTAATTGCTTCAAGTTTCATTTGCTTTCATTCAACAAATGTTAACTTTCTTCTTTCAAGTAAGCAATATTGACCTCCAGCTCCAGCTTTAGAACCAGTTCAGGTAAGCAAAAGGACTCTAAATTTGTTCCCTGGTTTCACAAGCTTTAGACTGCTTAAGATGCAACTCTTCCGTTACTTTCTCCAATATTGAAATTTTCGTCAACCCAAGTGAGCTTAAATCCTTCAAGTTCTCACACCAATCCTTTTCTTTCTTCTTCCATTCAAGCATCTCTTCCACTGCAGATATTTAATGGATACACCACTTGTTATTTGCTAACAAAAATCTTTAGCAATGAAGGGTTAGTCTAAACCTCCATCTCAATCGTACAAGTATCCTAGGGGTCATGGAGATAAACTACTTAATTACCATCCAAAGGATGCAAAGTATTGATATTTTCAAAATTTTATCGATTATATTAAGCTTATGGCCTTTAGGACTTTAGGGTGGCAAGGAATCAAATATAAATGCTTGCCCTACGGATGCAGTAGGAAGAAATACAGCATCTTTAGAGCTATATCTTATCCCTTGAAAAACTAAAAAGTAATTAAGAGTCAATTGTGTCAATATAGTATGGAACTAACTAAGAAAAAAGATGATTTTTTATTTAAAGGACAACTTTATGCATTGCCAAAATTGCTTTGGGCTGAAGCCATTTGGGTATTTCACTCTTTTGGAACCATAAGAAAGGTGATCATTTCCTCTTCAACATGATACTTCTCTAAAAAAGCATTTATACCCCTTGGACATTTGAGAGGGGCCAAGCGAATTATGGAAGAAGCTCTTGAAAAATGGAAGAAATTCATTTCATTTCAAATTAGCTTATACACCATCACTACATTTTGGGGGTGAGCAAGAAGAAAGGCAAGAGCCGAGGAATTGATCATATGGTCAAGTCCTCCAACCCCTACCTTCATTTTATAGCCATAAAGATGAAGAAAAATGATAGAATGACTCCCTTGAGAAACAAAAATGCCACATTTTTCTCATTTCTCGAAGATTGATATGGCACTAATCATCATTAGTTATTCTTCCAAGGATATTTATCGATAATCATGAATAATTGGCTTGACCGATCTAGCATTTCCCTATTAAAAACCTCGTCGCTCTAAATTTAGGCGAGTTCACCAAGGAGATGCCCTACATGAATTGGTTGCAAACTTGCCTAGTCTTTTTGTGATATGAGGAATACAGACATATATAAAACGATAATATTTTAAAAGACCCATAGATCTGGAGATCTGGCATACTAATCAACGAAAAGTCAAAGAGTAAAAGATAAAAAGAAAACAAACATCATTTATTTCATCATTTTAGAAATTAAGGTATATTATCCACTTATTCTCCTCCTCGACCTTTTATTTTGATTGGATGCCCATGACCTGTGTATACATTTTAGTGATAATAAGATATTGTTGTATAACATTATGCATAAAATTTTCATGGCCTCACCACTATATCAAGATTAATAATCCAAACTAAAATCAAAGATTATAATGGCTCAATTACAAGATCAAAATTAATGGTTCATGATAGCATCCTGGGCCAAGAGAGCGTCATCACCATGCATGAATAATAAAATGACTTAATATCAAATTATTGAAATTGTGATGATAATAAAATATTGAAATTTAAATTTTGAATGTTTAGCCTTTAACTCCCCTTTCATGGCTTAGTATAAAAATTAGAAGAATTATATATTTATCATTATATAGCTTCTATAAATCATTAATATAATTCAACATATCCAGTTGAAGCATCTAATAATTATATGCATCAAAATATTTAACTATATTCGTTATCCCAAAATTAATATACAATAGCCATAAGATCAATACAATCAACACTTTATCATTGGCTCTTGAGTCTTGACTACAAAAGAATAAAAAAAAATAAATAAAATCAAAATAAACTTGCATATCTCTAGTAATCTCACTCCACCTAATCCTGATCCCTTCCATGTTCTGAAATCATTAAAATTCACATAATGAGCTAAAAATCTCATATGTAATCCAAACTCACTAAAGCTTTCAATTCAATGCAAGAAGAGTCAATATGCTTGCTCAGTTCAATAAATATAATCAATAACATTCAATCTCGATCCGTGTTGATCCCTACTCCACAGCCAAAGCAAAATAAAAAAAAAGGCTAAAATCATTACATACCTGTTGAAATCCAAAACCCATACGGAAGTCTTGCTACAGTCAAATCCCCGCCGCTTGCTACATTGCCCAGGCCTGCAATTTGGCGCCGTTGCAGTCGTCCCATACTCACCTCCATCGTTGCCTTTTTGCGCCTTTAAAATGGGAGCGAAGCTCTCATTCGGTCACTTCTCTTCCCACGCTCAAATCCCGCAAGCTTTTTCTTCCCCATTCACTCCTCTTCCCACACGAGAGCTCCGACCCAGCCTCCTCCCTCTTCTTCTCTGCCCGACGTCCATCAACTCCAGAAGCCAATTTCCTCCCTTCACCCAACCTGCAACCGGCCAAAGACCCCGATCCCGTTGCCTCCTCCGATTCCTAAGGCCGAACGCCGTTAGCCCCTTCCGACCTCTGTCTATCCCGATTCCTTCCTTGCTCTTTCTTTCGATCCCAGAGAGAGAGAGAGAGAGAGAGAGAGAGAGAAGGAGGGAGAGATCATTATTATCATTTATAATTAAATATGATTAATTATTATAATTATTTTTAAATTATAATTAGTTATTGATAATTTTAATTAATTATAATTATAAAAAAAGATATTTTTTTATTTTTTTATCCCGCTGTTATCACCATTTGTTAAGGTATAAAAATTTTCAACTCAAGGATTCTTTTCTCGTGGCTTGCAACGGGCCGGCAAACCCCCTACATGCTCACGTAGCGTTTTAGGGAGGGAAACTGGACGCTTGCGGCGACTTAAGAATTCCTCTTCACTGCTAGCAACGAACCTGCAAATCCCCTATGCGCTCACGTAGCGTTATAGGGGGAAAACCGCTGTTGCGCTTGCGGCGAGGGGGATACAAAAATGTATTTTTTTCTATATAAGTACCCCCGAACGCTCACGTAGTGCAAAGGGGGAAATCTGTGTTTTTTTTAACTTGTGATCCAAACCCTTAAACGCTCACGTAGCGGGCGGGGATTTTAAAAATATTTTGCAACCGCAATGTCTTTTGACACCTACCTGAAGCGCTCATGTAGCATCGAGGGGAAATATTGCCTCTTGGTTTTTCCCCTAAAACGGGGGAGACGCCGGGAGGCTGTCAAAATTTGGATCGAAGATCCAAGGACTTGAACAAAAAAAATGAGCTTGGACTTTGACTTGTTTGAACAAAATGAACTTGGTGCAAAGAACTTGAACCGAACAAGACTACAGAGGACTTTGACATCGAATTTGAACCCAAATATGGAAATGAATTCAAATCAAAACTTAAACAAAATGAACTCAAATTTGAATTAAATGATGAAGACTTGTAAGTTTGGACATGCTTGGAATCAAGCATAGTGGATAAGAATAGAACTTGAATTAAACTTGCAGTTTTTTGGGACTTGAACTTGCACATTAAACTCAAATGACAATGAGCTTGGTACAAGAAGTCTTAACATGAACTTGAACTCAAGTGAACTTGAGCTTGACTTGAACTTGCAAGGTGGACAAGAACATGAGAACTTGAACTTGGACAATTTAAACTCAAGAAAGACTTGAGTTAGACAATAGGGGACTCGAACGGAAGAGGCTCATTTTGATCCTGAACTTTATTTGAATATGTTTTGGACTTAACTTGTGTTTCAAAATCAAAATGATAAATGAACCTAAACTCATCTTGAAATTTATTCAAACTTGGCATAAACAATAAAAAGCCTGAACTCAAATCAAACTATAGAAGACTAAATGAACTTGAACATGAGCTCACAATTGTGATAAATAGAAGACTTGCGGACTCAAGTTCAAATGAATACAAAGAGCTTGAACTTGGACATGGACATGGACCTGAGCTTTATTTGAACTTGAATCAACAATAACTCAAATGCCATCTTCGATTAATAAGAATGTGTAATTTAAATTACAAATATATACACAATGCTACTTTATTGAATATTGTAATTCATATGCAAGATATTTCTCTCACAAGTGATTATGTGAGATTCATGAATCAATTGATCTATAAGATATCATTCATTCATATGAATAGGAGAATTGTGTTGAACACAATGTCAAACAATTGATGCAAAAGGTATGTTGAAATTGTCATCCACAAGTAAATCCCTCGTAGACTAAAAGTTGTGTTCAAAGACAATGTAGGTCGTGTGATCTCTAGTATCATTCACTCACAAATGATAGTAAGGGTTTATGCAAATTGATTGGCTTGAACTAATCTACAAGAAGCATGCAACAAGTGTTGGGGTATTCATACAGTCCACTATAAGAAAGGGAAGAATGAATGTTTCTACCACCTACAAGAGATTACGACTTACCAAAGTGGATGTAGTAATACCTTGCAGTTCAAATGTAAGTGAGAACTATGAATCTATTACAAATAGATACGTTGAACTCAACAAGTAAAGAAAATCAGTGGGAATGTATAGTTTGGTTGCAAGCGAATTATACAAAATCTCTGATAGTTAAATTTCATACCAATGATGATAGTTGGTGTGCAAATTTATGTTGATCATACAAGCAAAGGTAGGTGGAATTCAACAAATGCAAGTACCTATTGTTGACCTCGATTTTGCCCAGAATTGGGCTTGGAGAGTTGACTTGGTCAAATTGACCAAACCAAACCCCATGACCCCCTCCAAATGGGTTCAATGAGTCAAGTCGAGTCTATTGGACCCTGACTCGGACCTTGGGTCAACCTAGTTGACCAAGTCAACCAGGGTTGACCAGTTTTAACCCTTTAAGCCTAAAATCTATTTCAAATCAATTTCATGGCATTCAAGGCTCAAATCCACGTCCCATTGGACATGATTGACTAGGTTGACCAAGCCAATCATTGACTTGGTCAACCCAAGTCATAATAGGTCAATTATGACCTATTAAGGCCCATTTAAGGCCTAATTAATTCCTTTAACTCCTCCTAACATTTTAGAATTCAAAATCACGTGGTCTTAAGCCTAATTTCCCTCCTAAATTCATCTAGATTCTATCCTAGCCGTCCCTTGGTCGTTGAGGAGTTTAAATAGGGAGAAAATTAGGTTTAGAGGGACTTTTGACTCATACTCCCTCTCTAGACCGCCTCAACGTTTGAAATTTTGTGTGAGAGCTCCAGAGAGATCCTTGACCCTTCCCCACGTCGAACCCGACCGTCCAAGGCCGCCGCCGGCGATATCTCCGGCCACCCGAGCCTATTCCAGTTCCAGGATGAATATCGTTCGATCGAGGCAATTTCGGAGCAGGAGTTCAACAGGAGAATCGTTCTTGGAGATCCAACGAGTCCAACGAGCCCAAGATCTCCCGAATCCACCGTGTGGATTGAGGTATATCTCAAACCCTAGTTAGAACACTTAGGGTTAATTAGCAACGTAATTAGTCCGTATTAATTCTAGTAAAACATCCCCCATTGATGCTCTTCACGTATGTTAGCCGTGTTTAAAATTCGTGAGGTTTTGTCGAGCAGTTTGAGAGATCTAGGCGATAATAGGTTAGAGCTCTCGGTCCGGTCGGCTCCTAGGCATGTGCTCTCTGGACCGTTGATCTCGTCGATCAATGGCTCAGATCGTGTGGATCTGAGCACTCGTCCGACCGGAGGTTAGATCCTATCGTGTATTTCCTCGTTCGACGCGATTAGGACCCTCCGTTTGAAACCACGCGGATCGGACGGCTCGGAGCCGTTGCCCACGTGGATGAGTGGGAGGCGGCTTGATTGCGGCAATCATTGAGCCGCCGCCAATGATTGGCCGCAACCGCGGACCCAATCGTGCTCCGCCACGTGTCCCGCGGGTCCCGCCGCCGTTAGTTTAAATTAAAAATTTATTTTTAATATATTTTTAAATCAGAAAACTTCAAAAATTCATTAAAAATTCATTTTTTGTCCGATTTTTGCGTATAATACCTCATTTTGTTCGTATTTTCATCCTCTACACTATAAATTTTTTTTTATAAAAATAATGTATATATTTTTAATTATTATTAAAACAGTAAAAATAACCTTATTTTTATTTTATTTAAACTATTATTTTAATATAATTATTATTTAATTATTATTTAATAATTATTTATATTAATTACTATTAGTTTAAGTTATTATTTTACTATTTAAGTTCTATTTTATAACCATTACTATTATTAATATTTATTAGCATAATATA